GACTCATAGGGTGGATTATCGATTCTTGTGTTCTGCATTAAACTATTTATAGTTTAAGGGCCTGGTTAGAAATGTTGCCTTAGACTAGGAATAGCTAAGAGCTTGTTATAAAATGATTTGGCCTTAGATTAAGAATAATTTAAGAGCATGGTTGAGATATTGAATATCAAATGACTTGGAATAAAATATTGAGAATATCATGAATGTTTGAATCATATATTGTGTGCTTGATATCAAATGGTTGATTATGAATTGAGATTCAATTTATTTGGATGTTCGACGCTTTAGATATGCTTACTCAGCTTCATCGCTGAGCGTGTAGTATGTTTTATTTGCTACACGCAGGTAGACAGAATGAGTGAATGACATGTTCTTGGTAGCGGTAGGGGCGAGACAGTCGTGGTGGATTTATTGAGAAAATAAATGATTATGTTATTATGAATCATGTTTAAAAATCGCTTCCGCATTAAACACTCCGTATTTACTACAATTATGTTTGGAATTTCATTTATGATGAATAAAGTTATTTGAAATGTTTTAAATTATACGATTACCAAGTTAATACTTTAGTTCGGAAGGGGTTGTACACCTAGACGGATTAGGGTGTTACAGTATGACTCCGGTGAGATGACACCCTTGTGGTAAGATGACATGTTTCAGTCAGATGACACTGGAGCTCACCACTGATCACTGCAAAGCTCACCACTGGTCACTGCAAAACTCACCACTGTCCACTGCAAAGCTCACCATGATATTCCAACACTTTACTTTTTTTCAAAATTTGATGGTTAAATGTTTACAAAGCCCAACAACAAAGCTCATTGACTCTCATTGCAAAGCTCGCCGAATATGTGCACAAAGCTCACAACACTTTAAAGTTTAAAATGACTTCGAAAAAAACAAAGGGCGGTGGTGCTGACTTCCAACCCCTGCAGACTACCGTCGTGGACCGGAGGTTGACTGGTGGTGCAATTTTATTACCTTTTTTTTTGAAAAAAATGGTGAGCTTTGCATTGTTCCTTGGTGAGCTTTCCACTGTCACTTGGTGAGCTTTGCATTGACAGCTGGTGAGCTTTACACTTTGACCGCCCATGACCAATGGCCACCACCGATGACCCCCACTATCGCCGTGGACCGGTGGTTGAGCGGTGGTTGACTGGTGCACTACTACAAAAACGAGCAAATAGACCGCCCTCAATTGCATCGGTTATTGAAAAAACCGATGCAAAAGGTCTATAGCATCGGTTGTTTTTAAGGACCGATGTCATTGCTCTTTTTTTAATTTTTTTTAAAAATTAAAAAAGGTATAAGCATCGGTTATTAAAAATAACCAGTGCAATTGATCAATAGCATCAGTTATTTTAAACAATCGATGCTAATATTTATTTTTATTTTTTTAATTTTTTTATTAAAATGAAAAGACATCGGTTCTATTTGCAACCGATACAGAAGACTACACCTTTGGGTAAAGCTATTTGTACCCCATGTTTTGTACCCCACTTTGTACCCCGTAGCTTTGCACCAACACAAAACACTTTGTGTTGGTGTAAAACTAAATTTTATTAATGCACCAACACTTTGTGTCCGTGTAAATTTTTGTTAATTCACCAACACTTATGTCGGTGTAAACCATCAAAATATTTGTGTACAACTGCTGTGTACAAATAGGGTAAGCATAGCATAACCCCTACGCCTTTCTATTTACTCCACTCTCTCTTTCTCGTTTCTATTTCTAACTCCAGATCCAGATCAGATCCAGTTCACATCCATCCGGTCGTCTCTTATGTTCCCCACCGACGCGTCTCTTGCCTTCACCGCCACCGTCTTCGTCGCCCGTCGCCTAGGAACCGGTGTGTGTGGATGTCGTCTTCATTGCGGTCATCGTTCCTTGTCTAGGGCTTATACCTCCCTTCGTCGTTTGTCATTGTCAGGCGTCTCCGTCAATCGCATCCCGACACCCTCAAGCCGTTTCCAGGTATTCGTCCAATGGAACTCTTCTCAGATCGGATTCTCCTTCCCTCGGATTTGTGTGCCTCAATGAAATGAGAGGTTCGATTTTTTTCCCTTTTACATTTTGCGACCTAGTTCGATTACGATTGAGTACATCGGAACTTGCTTCGCTGGTGCTAAGCAACAATCATATTGCACAGTTTATTCTCCATATCAAAGTAAGACCTTTTTCTTACTGCCTTATTTTGAACTTTCTGTTTTATTTTGCTCACTGGGAAGAGCTTGGAAATGATAGTGATCATGTTTGAAATGTTATTGTAATTGCCAGTTGATGCAGTTGACTGTTAGTTCTTGTTGACAATGGCCCTCTAGTTTTTGATTAGTTTATTGTTCAGATAATTTGTTTGTTACTGGTTTAATTGGCTGTGGTAGCCCCTTTGATGTAGCGAGTGTTGGACTTGAAGACGTTGAACCTTTTGTTCTTCTCGTCGAGGTTGGTAGACAGTGTGTGGTAGCCCCTCCACCTCTCGTACATCTCCCACAAGCTCTCCTCGCTCTCCAACTCCCTATCGTCGTATTCAAAGCCTTCTTCTATCCTAACAACCAAAGCTAATAAGGTAAGCACAAGTAGGAGGGATACCTTTTTCACCTTCATTATTTATATTATTACTCGTATATGATATGATATGATTGCTATAATAATAATACTCTGTAATTATTATTATTATTATTATTATTATTATTATTATTATTATTATAGAATAAAAAGATAATGAAATGAAGATGAGATGGGAGTGGGGGGGAAATGGGATTCTGCTTGCATGTTTATATATATATATACTCCAAAAAACAAAGATATGAGTGGGATTATGCATGCACCATTCCAGCGGGTAGGCTAAGTAAGAAACATTTCACCCAACTAAGGTAACACGAAGAAGCCAAGTTGCTCCCCACAATAATTTAGTTAGAGTTGTTAGTTCTTGTTGGCAATGGCCCTCTAGTTTTGACTAGTTTCTGGTTCAGATTTTTTGTTTGTTACTGGTTTAATTGGCTGCTTGGTCAATTGCCAATGACACTCAAATTTTCAGTGGTTAAGTTGGTAGTGGTTGTTGGTTTGATTTTTATATGCTTTTGGTTCAATGGACTGAAGTTTTTGTTTGGTGCATGCTTGTTTCAGTTAATTGGGAATAGCACTCTACTTTTCAGTTGGCCGCTGGTTCATTTACCTCTGCAATTGAAGCTACTTCAGCTGGTTATGCTGCAGCTTCAGTTGGCTATGTTATTGGGTTTTGGTTTTAGGAGGTTATTCTTTGTTGTACAGTTGGTAATGCTGCGGTTTGGTTTTCAAAGTTTTGAAAATGAACACAATTTTGTTTGGTGGATGGCTAAGTGCAACATCTAGGTTTAGTGGTATTGGATTTTGGCTTCGTTTTTTACAATGGCTCTTGATGTTTCTTTTTCTCTAAATTGCGTCTTTTCTGTCTTGGACCTGGTTTTGTTCTTCTATGGGTATTTTTTTAAAAAAACAAGACTTTGGCATTGGTTGTTTCAAAACAACCGATGCCAAAGCCTATCTTTTTTTAAAAAAAAACATTAGGCTTTGGCACTGGTTGTTTCAAAACAACCGATGCTAAAGCCCTTATTTTTTTTAAAAAAAATAGGGCTTTGGCATCGGTTGTTTCAAAACAACCGATGCTAAAGACTTTTTGCATTGGTTCTTTTACAACCGATGCAATTGCTCTGGAGCAATTGCATTGCTGCCATTTGCATCGCTAAAATACCGATGCAAAAGGTCTAAAAACACCGATGCTAAAGCATGTTTTTATAGTAGTGGTGGTTGAATGGTATAGGTAGTGCTATGCATTGGCAGTTGATGAGCTTTCCATTGACAGTGTTGTGTGTTGTGTTATCTGACTGAAGCATGTTATCTTACCATAAGGTATCATCTCACTGGAGTCAATCCCATTTTACATAATTTTTTAATTATATGAGTAATACTCTAATAGCGATTGTACTAGTTAAAATTTAGAAATGAGGTAGTTCACTTTTTACATGCTTGAGACTTCCTCTATGAATTTCCCCAGTAAGGCATGGGACTACTTTCTATTTATATTGATGCTCTTTTGGGACTTTACTTTCATGGGAGTAATTTACTTAAATAAGACTAAAACATAATGACTTTCCTAATATAGGATCATATGTTTTTGTTTCTCAATATAGGAGTTTTGGTCATTATTAAGTAGTTATTATTCAAGTAAATGTCTGTCATAACTGGACATTATTCCTCCCACATGGTCATTATTGAGTCTTATTTAGGGAATAAAAAAGTTTAAGTCTTACATTAGGAAAGTCATTGTGTTTTAGTCCTATTTAATGCAAATTTCACATTTTTCAATATTGTATATAGACTATATATTATTTTTCGCCGTGCGCACGGATTAAAATCTAGTTTCAACCAAATACACTCAAATAATTTAAACCATCTAAATTTTGCACTCAATGGGAATTTAATTATCCATGTTTTTTTTAATTATATCACATTTTTCAATTCATCATCAATGTACCAACTCATATTATTTTACATTTAAAACTTAATAAATAAATAATCACTAAAGTAAAATACATGAATTCTTATGTACCCCGTAAAAATCTCTTCTAAGTAAATTAAAATTACTCATGTAATTTAATGGATTATTGTTGTTTCACATCAACTTAAGAACATTATCTTAAAAACAATTATAAGATCTTTGCCATTAGACCCTATGTTGTTTTTAACGTGCTTCAGTGAATAATTTTCCTAGATTTGCCGGTGAAAATAATTTCAGTTGCATGCTAAAAAACAGCCATTGGGGTACATTGGAATTGAGGTATTTAGGTAATTAGCACTAAAATATAATGACTTTCTCTAAATAGCACTAAATGTGTTTTTATTTTCAATGTAGCACTTTTAGTCATTATCCATTAGTTATTATTCAAATAAATATTTGCTATCACTAGTCATTATAGATATTATTAAGTGTTATTTAGAGAATAAAATAATTTAAGTGCAATTTAAAAAATGAATTAAGTTTTAGTGCTATTTAGTGCAAATATTTCCATTGGAATAACGCCCTTCTTGCCAAGTAAATGGGAGGGTATGAAACCTGTGCGCGCGTACTCTTCTATATTACTCCCTCCGTCCCATAAAGATGGGTACGTTTTGACTAAAGTAGAAATTAAGGGAGAGATAATTTTGTGTTGACTTTCCAAAAATACCCTTGATGTGATGGGTAAAAGTATGATGTGATGTGTAGATTATTAGGAAAAAAGTATGATGTGATAGGTAAGATTTGAAAAAGTAAGGGATAAAAGTAATTTTTTAATAGAAATGGGTAAGGGATTGTGGGACGCAATTTTTTTGAAACGTATAAATCTTTTTGGGACAGAAGAAGTATGGTACTGCTATAAATTACTAGAAAAAAGTGATTTTGATCTAAACCTGAAGACCGGCCGGTCCGGTCTGGATTTCATAACATTGCCTACTACGGTATGCAAAATTGAAACATGTCCCATGCATCGTGCACTACCATTATTGTCCTCTCCTAAGTCCTAATGTTAAGCAGAACGACATACGTGAGCAGCGGTATATCGTGCTCCACACCCATAGCAAAATTCTTGTCCACACCTGTACGTAAATATAGATGTTGCATAAAAATAATGAAATTAGAGAAATAAATTGTAAATTAATTATAGGCTCTTTGTCTCGTAATTTTCATCTTGTTTGCGTGTTTATGGTTAATAGTTTTTAATTTTGATCAAAAAATATAAAAATAAATAAATAATACAAAGTATTAGGTTATGATATAGTAAAATTTGCACTGAATATGACTAAAACATAAGTCATTTTCTAATGTAGAACTTAAACTTTTTTATTTCCTAAATAGGACTTAATATTGACTAATGAGAAAAACAATGGTCAAAGTAATGTGTTGAACACTGTGAAAAAACAAAAAGAAAAAAAAATTATGAGACAAGGAAAGTAAATTTTAACTACCAATAGTAAAATGTACCGAGTATGAATTAATTTGAGAAGAAGAGATTATTAAATATTTTGCTCCCTCTCTCTCTGAAAAAATAGTCTATTTATTATTATAGACATTCGATAATTTTTACAGAGTATTTGTGAATAAATTTTTATTATTCTTTTGATAAAATAAACTATTTTTGTGACTACCTCTTTTTGTAAAACTGAATACCAAGTAATTTTTAATATATAACATATATCTTGTTATTTAATAATTTAAAAATAAAATCAAATTAAAAGAGAGAAATTCCTTAATTAGATATTCAAAAGAAGATAGTCCGTAGTTTTTTTTGTAATGAAGGGTAGAAATGGAATAGGAGTGTTAAATGGAAACAGAGGACCCATACCTGCACAGAATATGGAGACAGCCAGATTTCTTTTCCACGAAGAACTTACAAAAGGGGCATCTCCGCCACTGTTTCTCCTTGGCCAACCCGAGCATCATGACGTCATCTCTACCCCTCTCGTCCGCGTTCAGCGCTCGAAACTCTCCTCAATCCAGTCCGGCGTGCCACGCGACCCGGCACTGGGCGCAGAACAGTCTCCGGCAATTCGGGCACTCCGAAGCGGTCACCGCCTCCCCGCCGTCGTCCGCCATCATCGCCGAGCAATCGGCGTAGGGGCAGTAGAACCTCTCCGATCCGAGCACTAGCGACTCGCAGATCGCGTCCTCCCAGCGCTCGAACACCTCCCGGGGAACGATCGAGCGGCAGAGGTGCGGGTCGATGGTTCCCGGGCAGGAGACGTCGGGACACTTGACGGAGCTTATGTTCTCCTGGATTTTCGCGGCGACGTGCCGGCCGATGCACTCCGTGCAGTACGAATGCCGGCAGGAATTGCTCCTGAACATCTCGCCTCCGGGCTTCCAGTCCATACAGATTTCGCAGAACGCTACGGAGGATTCGCCGGCGTCTGATTGCTCGCCAGGTGTTTGGGTTTTTGTCTCCGAGGTTCTGGACGCCGCCATTGAAACGAGAACAGAGGACATTAGGGCCTCTTGCATTTGCAGCTCCTCTGCGTATTTCTCGTCGGAAACGGGGAAGATTTGGTCGTCGTCGTGAAGGGCAGAGAAGTAGAAATCATCTACATAAGGTTCGGAATCCATATATTTCATTTAGTGTTTTATTTGAAGTTGAAGATGACATGAGTAAAGAATTCTTTTAGGCCGTTTATAAAGGAAAATGGGTATTGAATTTACAGAGCACTACTGGTTCCCAGGAAAAGATTAATGCACGTTTTGGTAATTTGAACAGTCCACACCCTCGGAATTCATGAAACAACTCAAATATGCATGGAGAAATGCATTTTTGGTGTCATATGTAAAGTATCCGACTTAGCAAGGGGTGCTTTATTTTGGTGCTGCAACAAACATTTTAAGAGTCTTCCCTTTTTTAGAAAATTTTAGAGTAAAGATGCAAAATACAGTATTCCTTTATGATAAAGTCATTTTTTTTTCAAATCAATTCTTAATAAACCATTATTACTTACGTGGTACTCTGATTTACTATTTGCAAAATATAAATATTTACAAAAAAACAAAAAACAAAAGGGGAAAGGACCAAACTAGCTAGAAGTAAAACTTATACCGTATCTCTAAAATATGACTTGAAACTTAAACTCCTCCAAATAGGAGTAATTAACTTTATTAATTTTTGTATGGACTCCCTTCAATTCCCGCAGCTCCTTCACACATATGTATGGGTTAAGTTCACTTTCTCAATACACGCTAGTTGAGTCGTAGCCAACCTTGATGCATACACTCGCCAAAGGACTTTTCTGCGCTAGTTGAGTCGTAGCCAACCTTGATGCATACACTCGCCAAAGGACTTTTCTGCATTGCACTTCACAGTGACACGATGATGTCGTTTTTCTTATAACTAAATCCACGGGCTATTGAGTATTTTGCAGAGCTTATCCAAATTCAGCAAGTTTATCACTAAACCTCTAATCCACACCAGGCCAATGATGATGTTCTCCCACTTCATACCAGCCCTTTGATATAAAAATGCACAATGGACACAGCCACCGCCGACCCACCGTCACTACCACCATGAACTGCCCCCCTGTCTGCCTGCCGCCACCGTGACCTGCCACCACGCAATCGATTGCTGTCAGTGATTTCCCACATCACCAAACTCATCTCGATCACCGCCGACACCATCGGCATTTGCCCACGGCGTACCGCCATGCCCCGCACCGTGCAATCGTGTGTTGCCAATGATTTCCCACATCACCAAGCTCACCTCCTTCACCGCCAACAGAACTAGGATATGCCATTGTCGCCGTAGTTTTATAGTCTTACAATGACTGTAAAAAAGATTATCTTTATACAATGCAACAATACCACAATGCTAAAGATTACAATCTATAATGCCAAACATAGCATCTAATAAGTACAAATATGCCACTGTATAATGTCAAAAAGAAAAGCAAAATACCAAATAGCACTAATTCAGAACAAATATGTCACTGTATCATTCATAGCTAATTTAATAAAGATCATCACCCTCAATGATGGTAGTGCCTAAGCCCTTGAGTCCCTCTGGAACCTCACTAATAGTGACGAGTGAGTAAAGTTCTTCCTTAGCATCTTCATCATCATTCCTTTTCCTCACCATGAAAACACAAGCCCTCCTCGACACACTTCGGATCCCCTTGCGATATTCTCCAAATGAATTTGTTGAGCTTCACATCGACTCAGTCTTTTCGGCATTGTTGTAGAGCACTATCTCGATCAGCCGTCAGACCTTTGTTGGATATGTTCCTGTCTCGACGCAACAAGAAAAAGAGAAAGGAAACCCTAGTGGATAGATATAGAGGCGGCGAAGGAGGTGGACAAATGTGAAGAAAGATATCGGATGAAGAAAGTAGGCATGTCAATGGGTTGGGTTCGGGTCGTTCCATAGTATTCTATACCCATATCCTTTTTTAAAAAAATTGATCCTGATCCGTACGCGAATACCCGATGGGTCTTGAAGTTTAATTCTAGATTTGGACCCATTCACTACTATAAAATGAGCAAATAAATTATCTCATTTGCATTGGTTACGTAAATAGACGATTTAATAAGTGTAAATTTTTTGGCCAACCTCTTTTTTACATTGATTATTTAAAATAACCAATGCAAATAACATTTTGCATCGATTATTAGATATAACCTATATAAATAATTAAAGTCTTTTAAATTAGTTATATCTAACAACCGTTGCAAAAGGTTATTTACATCGGTTTTCTTAAATACCCAATGTAAAAAGTCTTATTAAATCTATCCACACGATGTGTTATCTCTTACGCAATATTTAAAAAACTTTCTTCGCGCCGCCCATCGATGTTGTTCCACCGTTCGCATCACCAGTGCAAAATATAAATGTTTATACAGAACAAAAAACAAAATGCATCGAGTTGAACTGAAAGTGTAACCGAGTGATTAAAATATCTCAAAAATATACATAGATACAAAATTAAAGGGCACATCACTTCAATGTCATGCCACTGTGTGACTAGATTGTTTTTTATTGGCTAAATAGTGTCATGTCAGCATGTGGCATTCTAGTCAAGCTACAACTTGCCATTGTCCATTGCTCTTAGTAAAATAAGAGTCAGCGATGAGATGATACAATATAGGGATAGCCAGTCATTTTCAAAGGATTACATTTATTTCTTTATACAGTAATTGAATCAGATCTTCCTGGTAGGAAAGCTTAACTTTTATAATTTTGCAGATCAAAGTGCCTTGTTGTTGTGTTTCGTAGCTGTGCCCAAGACAATCTAAAGATCTTCAAGTGGAACATTTTGGCACTTGAGGGCTCAAGAGAGGAACCATCTACGGGCGCTACTCTGTCGCTTAGCTCCACGCCATGCCAGTCCATATATAGTCCACTATATAGTTTTATCTTTAATATATAAATAGAGATATTAATGATCAAAGTGTTGAATTAGAAACGTTGAAATATGAAATGTGAAGAAAGATATGGAACGACGGGTCAAGGGAGTCATATACTTCAATTTTATCGTATTATGCTAATAAAGATGATAAAAAAATTCCTTATATAGTTCCCAGAGGTCTAATTATTTAATAGATTTCAAAACTTGAGGACCATGAATGTAATTTCCTAGAATTAGGGACTAATTATAAAAAACTATATGTCCACCAATGTTTCAGATGGTATTAGTAATAGATCAAAGCATGCAGGTCAAAATATTGAAGATCGTAATGTCTTCAAGTCAAAAGATAGCTATATTAATGGTTGTATGATAATACTAGTAACACATTATTGTAACACCCGTATAGTCACTACAAGAATTTCAGGAATTTGCGACTGAAAATTTCCATTGCAGATGGATTCTTTTCTCTTGCAATTAACGTTTGTTACAACTTTTGCAACGTCCGCGCATCTGTCGTAGTTTGTTGGCCGCAAACTTTAGTGCGACCATGACATTGTAAACGTTAGTCTTAATATATTATGATGTCTGTATTATCATAATATTCGACTAAGGATATTTTAGATCTAGTCTCTATATTTGTAACAGTCTCACAATTAGAACATCGTAGGTCTCATCTATGTTACTAGAGCACTAATCTATGGACTGAAGCTATGTCTAAAGTACACAAGATTATTTAAACATTCTTCAAAGCCTTTATTCTGGAAATAATCCATATACAAATCATAAGTTTGCCTCTACGGCTTACATATATTCAACACAAGAATCGTTATCCTCTTCCTCGCATCGACGATTTGTTCAACTTCTCTATGATTGATCTGCAATCAGGGTACCATCAGATTCCCGTCAAGAAGGAGGATATTCCTAACACAGCATTTCGCACTCGATATGGTCAGTACGAGTTCACAGTGATGCCTTTTGGTTTGACGAATGCATCGACAATCTTCATGGATCTGATGAACAATGTGTTCCGTAAGTACCTTGATCAGTTCGTGGTCGTATTCATCGATGATATCTTGGGGTACTCCAAGACATGCGAGGAGCACACAGAGCACCTGCGCGCGGTACTCAGCATTCTACGGGAACAACAACTCTGTGCCAAATTATCTAAGTGCGAGTTCTAGTTGCACGAGGTCACCTTCATTAGCCACATCATCTCAGCTAAAGAAGTGAAGGTGGACCCGTGTAAGATTTTGGAGATCACGAAATGGAAGACTCCGCGTAATTGACGAGAGGTGAGGAGTTTTCTCGGGTTGGCAGGATACTACTTCCAATTCGTGAAGGACTTCTTGAATACAGCTTCACCTTTGCACAAGTTTATGAAGAAGGGGGTGAAGTTTGAGTGGACTAACGCTTGTTAGCAGAGCTTTGAGTAGCTAAAGCAGTGCTTGACTCAGGCACCCGTGCTAGTACAGCCGACTCCATGCGTGGAGTACACAGTTTTTAGCGACGCCTCTCATAATGGCCTAGGTTGTGTCCTCATGCAGGAGGGTAAGGTTGTAGCGTATGCATCTCGGAAGTTGAAGCCGCATGAGTGTAACTACCCTACACATGACCTAGAGTTGGCGGCGATCATTCTCGCTCTGAAGATTTGGAGGCTTTATTTGTATGGCGAGACGACACATCTTCACCGACCATAAGAGTCTATAGTATCTTCGGAGTGAGAAGGATCTGAACCTACGGAAAAGGAGATTGTTGGAGTTGATTAAGGACTACGACTGTCACATCGCTTACCACCCATGTACGGCGAATGTGGTGGCCGATGCCCTTAGTCACAAGACCCTAGCTGTACTTCGAGTTCAGCCTACATTATTTCGGGAGATTATGATAGCACAGTGCACAGACGACTTCTGCAAGAAAACTAGTGAGTTCATCAGCTCTCGAGGCGAGAAGCCTCACTTCTTCGTATGAGAGGATGGGGCCTTGTTCTATCGGGGTTCTGTGGTGGTGCCAACGGGGGAGGTGAGGGAACGTCTCCTTCGCGAAGCACACGAGACTATATACCCCATGCACCCAGGTAGTAACAAGATGTTCCAGGATATCCGGAAAAATTATTGGCAGTTCGCAATGAAAACAGAGATCACGAAGTTTACAACTCGATACTTGACATGCCAGCACGTTAAGGCTCAGCGACCGGACTACTTCAGCCGATTACCATTCTCGAGTGGAAATGGGATCATATCACAATGGATTTTGTAGTGGGGCTTCCATTGTCGCCTTGCAAGAACGATACAGTTTAAGTCATTGCGGACCGTTTGACTAAGTCCGCACATTTCCTTCCGATACGGCGGGAATTCTCCTTACAGTGATTGGCAGAGCTATACATCCAAGAGATCATTCGGTTACATGGAGTCCCCTTCATCTATCATCTCGGATCGCGACCCGCGTTTCACATCTCAATTCTAGAACTCTGATCTTCATTTCAGTACGGCCTTCCACCCACAGATGGATGGTCATACCGATAGAGTTATTCAGATCCTCGAGGATATGATGCACGCTAGCGCAATCGACTTCGAGGATGGCTGGGAGTATTATCTCCCGCTGATGGAGTTCGTGTACAATAATAGCTATGAGGATTGTTTCGGTATGGCGCCGTACGAGGCTTTGTACGGTAGGCCGTGTCGAACTCCTACTTGCTGGACTGAGCTCAGTGAGAGAAAGTTGGAAGGAGCTGATTTAGTTTGTGAGACCGAGGAGAAGGTCCGAGTGATTAAGGACCAACTTCAGGTAGCTTCAGACTGACACAAAGTCCTACGCAGATCTTAAGAGGCGCGACATTGAGTACGCGGTTGGAGACAAAGTCTTCTTGAAGGTCTCCCCTTGGAAGAAGGTCCTACGCTTTGGTAAGAAGGGGAAACTCAGTCCGAGGTTCATAGGACCTTACCCGATCACTGAACGTGTGGGACTCGTAGCCTACAAGCTTGAGCTACCACCTGAGCTGAGTAAGATCCACAACGTGTTCCACGTGTCCATGCTCCGAAGATATTGTTCAGATCCCTCTCATGTGATCCCATCAGATACAGTCACCCTTGATGAGAATCTCATGTGTGAGGAGGAGCCGGATGAGATTCTGGCTCGCGAGATCCGGCAGATAAGGAACAAAATCATTCCTTTGATCAAAGTTCTTAAGAGAAGTCACTTCGTTGAGAAGGTGACTTGGGAAACCCGTAGAATCTATGCGCACCCGTTATCCACATCTCTTCGGTGACCTATGATTAGGTAATTTTCGAGGATGAAATTTTTCTTAAGGGGTGGATAACTGTAATGCCCTAAAACACGGTCTGTTATAATTGGTTAATTAAATTAATTAATTACTAACTCGGACCGGGGTTGGGAAAAAATAAAGTCTTTAGAAAAATTATTTGATCACATCATAATATTAGTTTTGATTGTCTGATTCCAGAAACACAAACAGATCTCGATTCGGACTAGTTCGGGGGAAAAGCGTGTACCGCTCAGGTCAGTTTTTTTTACGGAGTAACACAAAAAGTGACTCCCAAATTTCCCTACATGTACACGCCACAAACACACCCCCCTCTCTCCATATTCATTCTCCTCTTTTAATTCCCCACCTCACCACCATTACTCTCCTTTATTATATACACCCCTCTCCCTTCATCCCTTCACCATTTTGTAACCCTAACCCAATTAACACACTCACCCCCTCCCTCTCCCTTTGTGGTTCGGCCAAAGCAGCAAAACAAGGGAGAAGTTCCGGCGAGGAGGAGAAGAAGAAGGAAGAAGAGAAGAATGTTTACACGTAAAGCCGTTCGTTCCGTTTTCCTGTCCGTCAACCCCTTCGTTCTAGATGTCAGTACGTTTCCCTCTAGCTTTAGAATCCGTAGTATATTCCATATTGTTATATTCATAGGATTACCGGGATAAACTTACGTTTAATCCGTATGAATGTAGTTTTCTTGTTATTGTTGGGAAACGAGGCTTGGATAACGCAGCGGAAAACAAAAATTTAGAGTCCAAAACTCGATTCCACCCAAGAACAACTTACATAAATTACTAGCTATAGTAAGAAAGTTACCTTACCAGTGAAAAATGGAGAACGGAGAAATGGTCGGGGATGGTTTTGAGGAGATGAACGTAGCGCCAAATGTATAAAGCCTCCAATGTATCCACACGAACTTGCTCCGGAGTCCTAGATTAAACTTGTGCTAGCAAGTTTAATATAGGATAGCAAAAACTATAATATTACTACTTTAGGGAGTAATAAATATATAGTAAAATATTAATCTTACAAATATTTCTTTATAATATTTTGTGTATATTTATAACACTTTAGAAAAATAACTTTGAACACAAAATAATATTTTTCACTCATTTCTCTCTCTCTATGGCCGAAAATGATATGTCGAAAAATGGAGAGGGATTTTTCTCATTTATGGAATTGCTAGGAAATTACTTAGGGACAAAACAAATTAGGATTAGTGTAATGTCCCCAACCAACACAACAAGACAAATATCCTTTACTAATAAAATATTTGATTATATCAATCAAATATATCATTAGGTAGAAAATCAAATTATGTTTTGTGTTTTTCCCTATGAAATTTTCGGCCATCCCATTAAAAATACATTATATTTTATTTTGACATTAATAATTATCATATAATTAAAATGATGAAAATAAAAAGTAATATATATATATATATTACTATATATATATATATATATATATATATATATATATATATATATATATATCACAACTATATATTTAATATTACTCCCACTAGTGTAGTATACTACTCCCTTACAAGTCCAAAATGTGTGACCCTTTAGATATCCATAACACTGGCAGTGATATTAACATAAATTAATACCATAGATAATAATCGGTATCTAGCAACACATTATTACCCCCAGATTATGAAAAAGACGTTCATCTCATCAATACCTTCTACGACACAATATGTTCTATAACTATTATCCTTCTGCCCTCAATGTCATGATTTAACACAAG